CTTCCTTCCTTCCTTCCTTCCTTCCTTCCTTCCTTCCTTCCTTCCTTTCCTTCCTCTCTCCCGAGCACCAGCCAGGAGAAAGAAAAACCATGCACTCCAAAAATGCCCCTCCTGCAAGCCCACCCACCGTCGCAGGCGAGCGACTTACAGTGACCTTCATGGCGCCGAAGTCCACGTTCACGCCAAAGAGCGACTCGTCAAACCGCTCGATGGCCGCCTGCACCCGCTCGTTGCTCGGTCGGCTCTTGGGGGAGGGTTGAAGGTTTTCATGAGGCTTCTTGTAGTTCTCTTTCATTCTTTTCCCATCTGTTTTCCCCATTTAGTGTTTGAAAGCTAAAATGACTTGAAGGTTTTGGCCTTTGGAGGACTGGAGGTCTGACATTCTGGGAGGCCAAGCACTCACTTGCGCACCCCCCAAATAACCTCACTTGCGCACTTTACCTCACTTGCGCACTTAGCACTCACTTGCACACTTTCAGGGGGAAAGTGAAGGTGAAAGGACATTCAACCACCAACAACCTATTGGGTGGGGGGTAGGAGAAAATGAAAAGATACTCAACCACCAAACAATGTAAGTTCTTGCACCTGACATGTAATTAGGTGAGGTTACTGAACACAACTGCTCATTAAAATTACATATCTTGTTGGGGTGAAGTGGGGGGGTGGGGGGGGGGAGGGCGGGGGTTAATAACGTCTTTGTTGACATTCTTCCACATGATGATCTTTATTGAATATGCGCTTCCAAAGAACCATGTGATACAGATGCTCTGTGTCTGATCTAGTTAGTTAGTTTGTTTGTTTGTTAAATAGATAGCTAGTTAACTAGTTAGCTAGCAAGCTAGTTAGTTAGTGAGTTTTGGAACTAGTGAGTGGGTGAGCTACTTACTTGGTTAGTTCTTGCACCTGACATGTATTTAGGTGAGGTTACTGAACACAACTGTTCATTAAAGTTAAATATCTTGTTGGGGTGAAGTGGGGGTGGGGTGACACGGAGTGCAAACAGTGGTTTCCCTTGGAAAGAACACTGCCTTGACAAGAGGTCCTCAAGCGAAGTGCACCGAAGGTTGCCGAACGGCGTGGCTTTGTAAGCAAGCGGTCTCTTTTCTATCACGCTGGAGCCAAACATGTCGTCGAAGATATACAGTTAGGTGAGACCGACCGGGGTCAGTACATAGCAAAAACAAACACATGGGGTGGGGGGGTGGGGTGGGGGGTTAATAACGTCTTTGTTGACATTCTTCCACATGATGATCTCTTTTGAATATGTGCATCCAAAGAACCATGTGATACAGATGCTCTATGTCTGATTTAGTTAGTTAGTTAATTAGTTAGTTAGTTACTTTGTTTGTTTGTTTTGTTTTGTTTGTTTGTTTCTTTGGTTAGTTAGTTTGTTTGTTGGTTAGTTAAATAGATAGCTAGTTAGCTAGTTAGCTCGTTAACTACTTAGCTACCAAGCTAGTTAGTTAGTGCGTTTGTGAGTTACTGAATGGGTGAGCCACCTAGTCAGTCAGTTTCTCAGTTATTCAGTTAGTCAAATAGTTAGTTAGTTAGTTAGTTAGTGCAACCATTTTGCGACGGCCATGTGCATGAAAAGCAGCAAAGAGCGTGCTTTCTTTTGAAGTACCCCAAGAACGTCTTTTTCCCACATGGACTTCATGGAAAAATCGCGCCACAAAAAGCAGTCAGGAGGGATGGAGACCATATGACTAGAGAAACCGCCGAGGATATAATTTAGAAGGATATACCACGACAGAAACCAGAGAGTTATAGATACAGGAGGTCTATTCATATACCAATATTCTATGTATATGGAGCGAGAAGAAAAGCCATGCCCACTGCTGCATCTTTCAATGAGTGAATGAAATGCGTCTGCAAGGACAGTCATCCGAGATCTGACACGTTTACGCATGAAATTCACCCTGGTTTAGTTTGGTAGTAGCAGTAGTAGTAGTAGTAGTACTTGTAGTAGTGGTAGTTGTGGTAGTATAGTGGTAGTGGTAGTGGTAGTGGTAGTGGTGGTAGTAGTAGTAGTAGCAGTAGTAAGGAGTAGAAGAAGACGACGTAGTAGTGGTAGTAGTAGTCGTCGTAGTCGTAGTCGTAGTCGTAGTCGTAGTCGTAGTAGTAGTAGTAGTAGTAGTAGTGGTAGTAGTAGTAGTAGAAGTAGTAGTAGTCGTCGTAGTCGTGGTCGTGGTCGTGGTCGTGGTCGTGGTCGTGGTCGTGGTCGTGGTCGT